TGCAGAGTATAACTTCCTCGGGAAAAAAAAAGGTGAACTGGATTTTCCCATCAAGTTTTTGTTCACGATATTAAATCTTGACACTTATTTGTTGTCATTTTATATCTGTTTTCATTGCAACATTCAACTCCAAACTTTCCCTGTTTGCACAGACCCCAGACTATAGTTCCATAGAGCATCAAATAAAATTTGATCTTATTTTCACTCATTTGTGTCAAAACATCCATTTTTGTTGCTTCCCACCTGCCACCTTTGAAACAGAAAACACAAAAAATAGGGTATTCGTTTTTTGTTGCTTTGTCATTGATCTGTCCTTTTTTTTTTTGGCAGTTAACTGCTGGCCTTCTGTTTCTGGGAATGAAACCTATGTGAGCATGGAGTATGAAGCTTCATCAATGTTTTGACTTATAGAATGTTGTGATATCTGCACCTCTTCCACCTCTTAGAGAGTCACCAAGTGTACAACAGATAGATAGGAGGTAATGGTTTATTTTAACTTTTGATTTTACTTTCTTGAAAAACTGCCAGCATTGTCATGTTGTCTGGGTTTATATTTTTCCCTTGATTTATTGAAACATTTATGAGTCTATATTTTGATAGTAGTTGAGATAGCCTATAATGATATTGTTCAGATCTTCATGATGTCTCCTATAATAAGTTGCAATTATAAATGTTATTATATTATTTTACTCCTACACTGGTTTTAAACATTCCAATAATGTTCCGTTGAGTAAATACTATTTTTAACTGGTTTTGTACTTGTGCTATTTACATATGCTTGCCTATTTCATGGTGCTAAAACCTGAAGTAGATATAAAATCGTATTTTTCAGTTAAACTTTAAAGAATAGTTTACTGAAATTTGAAAGCGTGAAAGATCTTGCTCACTCCTTGAGCATTCTGAGGCTAAGATGTTTAGCCTTATATCAGGATGTTAGTATTATTTAAGATCTTTTCAGTTAACAAAATATCCGTGAATTCTAATTTCATTGTCTGCTGGTTAGTCTTCCTACATTTTTAGTTTATCATTATATGAGATCAAAACATTGAATAAGTTCCAGATGAATATGAACTGTCTCTGTTTGTCTAAATAGTTCGGGTTGACATTTTGTTGTTTTTGTCATTGCACTGGTTTTCAAAGAATAATTTGTCGATTTTATGTGAGAGCACAACTATGAAATTGATGGTTTATATATCCTTTTTCTTTTAAGTTCTTGGTCATCACTTTGGGCTTACTGGGAGATGACCTTTATTTAACTGCGACATATCATTAATCATTTGAATACTTTTTACATAGGCCTCTGTTCATCTCTTTAATGAATAAATAGGATAAAGCCAAAATTCCAATCAAATGAAAGGACTTTAACCAGGAAGGGAACTTATTTTGTAGGTTAATCCTATCCTTTTTCCTACCATCCAAAACATGCCTACGGAGTATAACCAAGTGGTAAGGCGTCAGGTTCTATTACTTGCAAAACCAAGAGAATTTTCTAACCTCCGTGCTTAATTCCCAATGCTTTGTTGTGATTGCCTTAAGCTATTGGATTTCCATGATGAGTTTGGCATCACAATAGACCTCATCATGGATCTGCTCTTGTTTTGCCAGTTTGTCCTGGACTGAATTGTGATATGTACTCTGTTGCACCATTAATGTTCACAATTTTACAAATATTCACAGATATGTATTTGGCCAGTTTATGTAATCTGCACCTCCCTTACGTTTAGTTACAGTGGAGTTTTAATGAATGGTCTCAATGGCAGGCGCATCGTAATCAAATTACTGGTGACTTCCAGAAAAACCACAGCAATGAGGTATGGTGCTCCATACATCTAAATGATTCATGAAGGTCAATGTATGAGCAGGATTGTTATCCATATGCGTTTGATAGACAGCTTTGAAAACACGAGGATGAAAATATTTTATGTTCTTTTGTCCATGATAATTGTAACCCTCTTATATAACTTTGTTTAACTGCCTAAAATTCTATCCTGCCCCGCTTGTATAGAAAGAAGGATAATTGGTTTAAGTCACCTCCAAACGACGAATGTCACTGGGTCGTCCAGAGTATCTTGAAGACTCTGACATTGTGTCCAGTCGTTTTCAGGTCATATTTTTTGTTCTAATTTTTTCGTCTTATTATTCTTTTATTTAGTTCTTTTTTTTCTTGAACCTGTATTATCTTCTTCCAGAGAAGAGACGTTTACGGTGCTTGGGAGTAGTACCTTGGGTTAGAGCACTCTGGTACTACTCCAAAGAGGGCGTATACTGCAAACTAGGTAGATTTTTTTATTGATATAGTACGTGTATGATTTATATTATTGTGCGGTACTGGATGAATAATAGGGGACGCACCAATATTGAGAATTCTCATTTGATATTTCTGATGTATATTCAAATTTGAAGTGTGTTTCAACGTTTTATTATATTTTTATAGGTTTTGAGAAGTTTCTTCAGAGAGAATATATATTTCCTGGACCATGTTTTCAAATCCTTATGTTTTTCTGATAATTGCAAAACCGACATACATTTGAGAAGCCTGTCAAAATATACAATTTAGAAGAAATGCTTGCAATATACGAATTCTCTCAAGTTATGCTAGAAACCAATGTTGATGTTGTGGGATCTACAAAACAGCGTGCTCCTTTCTTGGATCCAAAGACCGTAAGTTAGCATCTTCTGGAAACGATATATGAGTGTACATATTCCACATTTAGTTTAGCTATACCAAAGGTAATACGTAAGTTTCATTGCTATAAGTTAATTCAATTTACATATGGTATTGTATATTTCAAGCTTCTTCTATTAAATTGTGCTCAAATTATGTTAATTTCTAAACGTTGCATGGACATGGTAGTTGCTGGAAATCTTTCTTCTCCTAATCCAAATTATAAATACGATTATTTTCGATATAAAATGTGATTACTACTTATAATTTGGTATACCAACTGCGACCTTAATCGATGTTCAAAGAAATCAACTTTTGCTTTCATCTTTGGTACAGTTCAAAAGATCTTGGTCACTTGTACAACCGTCTAACAAATATCTTATCAAATCTATCCCAACATAACCATTATCAATACATACACTTGACGTAGAGTCGTGCAACACACGTCCGACACTAGTTAACTATTAAGTGTGATGTAAATAATTTAAAAAGAAAAAGCAATCATTCCAACAAAAAAGTAATGATTACATGTAGGGGTGTCCAAAAGTCCCAAACAGGACAGAATCGAGCGGTTCTTCATAAATTAAATACCCGAACGGGTACTCGAATCGAGAACCGATGGGTTTGGGTAGAGTCTCGAATCTAGACCAAGAATCGAATAAGAACCGAAACTAAATAATTTTTTTTATTTTTTATATTGAATTAATTAAATTATTTTATTATTTTATACAAATTAGCAAATTAATTAAATAAATCAGATTATTTCATAATTTTAATTTTAAAACTCAAATCATTTTAAAACTCATTAGCCCATTTTAATTTGAAACAAATGATTATACTTTATATATTTTTGCTGTAATATTAATATCTACCTTTTGGTATTTGTATGCATTGAAGTAATCTTATTGGACGGCTAGTTATTTATATGTTTTTGAACTGTGCTACGTTAATTTGTAAAAGTTATGAATGAAATGTCATTAGTTGTATTTATGTAGTGTTGCCGTAAATATTAAAAAAATTAATTATGGTACGGAATCGAACCCGAACGATTGCATAATTATATTTGGACCCGACGGGTCCATTTATTAAATATCCGAAAGTTTTGGGTCGGTTTGGGTCTCTTCAGAATCGAATCGAACCGACCCACAGACAGCCCTAATTACATGACACTATTGATGTGAATGAGACGTGTATTCATTTTGTGGATTGTGGTTTATGCATACAGATTAATAATTACGCGTTTATGAATACATAAATAATTTGAGTACTATGATAAAAAAATAATTATGCGTNGAAGAATTGATTTTGAATAGTGATATGATGGAAAATGTGTGGTTGAAAAAGAAGAAAAAAATTATTGATGTGATGAAAAATATTATTTTATTGAAGAATGTGTGGTTAAAAATGAGAATTGATTTACTGTAGAAAAATTTAATCACTCCCAAACAGGACCATATACTTTGAGATTGGATATAGGCTATCTTCAAACTAATTTGTATAATTTTTAGAGAATCGTACTGATAACGTGTTATAAAAAGAGAGAATAAGAGAAGTCAATAAACTTGTGTGTATTATAATGAGAACCAAAACCTTATATTTATAGGGAAGAAATAATGATACATATAGTAATAATATCTAAAGATGCAGGTACAATTGTCATTCACCAACAACTTACCATTTACAACAAAAATAGTATTTTAATGAAAAGTATGTGTTTAAAAATAAGAAAAAAAATTTAATTTTACGTGTAATATTATTTTATTCAAGAATATGCGATTGAAAATAAGAGAAATAAAAAATATATTTTGAAAATAATGGAACCAAATAAGGTCTATGAAATAAAAAAAATAGTCTAAGAAATAAAAAAAAAAAGAAATTGCAGCCACGATACCAAGCCTTTCACTTTTTTGCAGACTTTGCTCAAACATTTATTTTTGTCGCCCACGGTACCAAACCTTTAAACAATTCGCACCGGAGGTCCGCATAGACGGTTTCCGTCCAATTGACCGTTAGTTGACGATAAAAGTCAAAATTGACCAATTGTTGACTAATTTTTAAAGGGCAAAATGGTAATTTTTCCTTTTTCATATATAATTAAAAAAAACTAAAATCAAATAATTAAATCAAAAACCAAAAATTAAAAATAAAAGAAAAAAAAAAAACCAAACTACTGTTCATCTTCTTCCCCACCCCCCAATCGTCCTCTTCCTCTCCGCCACTGTCAGCTCCACCCTTTCTCATCTTCCCACCACAAATGCCACGCCATCTCACCCACCCATTCCCCCTCTGTTGTGGAAAAGGTCCATAAAATGGGTGAGGGAGAACCTTTTCCATTTCAAGATGGCGTGGCATTTGTGGTGGCAGTGATAAAAAATTTATCACTACGACGGCTTCCATCCTCATCTCCATTTGCTGCGCCGGCTTCTACGTCCTCTACGAACCCCAACGCCCCGAATTCTCTGTCAGCTCCCTGAAGATAACCCAGTTCAATCTCACCACCAATGCTGCCGATGACACCACCTACCCGACAACAAAACTCAATCTCACAATCTCCTCCAAAAACCCCAACAAAAAATCATCTACACCTACAATCCCATTTCGATCGCAGTATTTTCCAACCAAGTAAATTTATCAACTGGCTCCTTTTCAAATTTCACCAGTTCACCAAACAACATCTTCATAATTAACACCGCTACCGGACCATCATCCCAGATTCTTGATGTTGATTCTGTAACTTCAATCAAATTAGATCTGAAGAAGAAAAAAGGGCTGCCGATGAAGATTTTAATGGGCACTATTTTGGAAGTGAAAATGGAAAAGTTGAAGACGAAAAATATTGGGATCCGACTAATTTGTGATAGGATTCACGTGAGTGTGCCAAAGGGTAAAAATCCAGCCGTTGCCAACATCTCTAATGCAAAGTGTAAGGTTGATCTGAGAATCAAGATCTTGAAATGAGGAGGAGGATGATTGGGGTGGGTGGGTGATGAACAGTTGTTTGTTTGTTTGTTTGTTTTTTTTTTTAAATTTAAATTTTTGGTTTTTGATTTTATTATATATGAAAATGGAAAGTTACTATTTTGCCCTTTAAAAATTAGTCAGCAATTGGTCAATTTTGAATTTTTGGATCAACTAATAGTCAATTGGATGAAAACCGTCTATGCGGACCTCTGGTGCAAATTGTTTAAAGGTTTGCTAACGTGGATGGTACAAAATAAAGGTTTGATCAAAATCTACAAAAAAGTGAAAAGTTTGTACTATGGCTGCAATTTTCCCTAAAAAAAGTAATTAAGTCACATATTTTTATTAAATTATTAAGAAATCACTAAATTACTGATAACTCACGTGGACTCCATGACGCAAACTTCAGTTTTTTTTTTTTTTTTTTTTACTTTTTGCACGGCATGTCCACGTTAATTCAACCATAGCGACTTATATTTTAATTTAGGGTCTGTTTGATTCTTGTTATTGTAGAATGAGAATGAAAAATATTGTCGTTATTGGACCCCACACAAGAAATAAAAAATTAAAATTGATGACTTGATGTGATGGATAACGGTCATATTTTTCATTTTTATGAATAAAAATAAGAAATAAACGGAGGCTTAATTCAACCCTAAAAGAGGTTCTTGATTATTTTTAATAGGAAGAGTGATTTCATAAATTTGTTTTACTGAGTAACGTCAAGCTATTAAGTTTTTGTTTGGTTCTCATTATTTTCAAAATATGTATTCCTCTTATTTTCAATTACATTTTTTTATTAAAATAATGATACACGTAAATTAAAAATGTTTCCTTATTTTTCAATCACATATTTTTCATCAAAATACTATTTGGACAAAAAAAAGGCTCAAAATCTTTCATTGGTAAGTTCTCAAGGAAACCAACCTAGTATTACTAAACTTTTATCCATAATGCGACAATTCTTCTATTCGGCACATCCAAGTACTAAAGTCGACTTTTATTCTTGCTTTGATGGTTGGGTCTTGCAATCAAACTCTTTGCCTTTACACTAGAAATACAATCACCATCTGGTCTACATAAATTGAAAGAAAGTCAAGAATGGAAACCTCGTACTCCATCTGGTCTACATAAATATGGGGTTCTACTTTCGGCGGCCTTACACATTTGGCCTTTCCATGGCAAATTGATGTCCTAATAGATTGATCAATGTGAAATTCAGAACGTTAAATTTTGTCTGTGACAACAAATATTTCTATTTTTCGAAAAATCCTTTTTCGTCCACTTATTTTTTTTCAAAATCGTTATATATCCTTCTGATTTACTCTATAGGAGAAGAAAATAGCATTCAATCGTGATTCAGTTGTCAAATTTGAGCCTCGTAGCTCACTTATTTTTCACTTTGAGCAACAAAAGTATCATCAATCTAAAGATTTAGAGTACGTGTTGACTTCTTTTTGGAGAATATCGAGAGTAATACACTAAGCCCTCGTTTGTTGTAGAATAAAATTAGATGTTTTTGTAGATTTTGTTAAAGTTAACGAAATTTGTAGTTAAAAAGTTGTTAAAATTAGTTATTGACATTGGCTTGAGATTTTTACGAAATTTTAATTTAAAAGTTGACTTCTGCAAAATAAGCAAAGCCTAACGTGCTATTCCTGGTAAGAACAATTAAAAGTAATTATTTTTCTAATTTTAGGCGAACAAGCACATCCAACATCAAATCCTAGTTTGTTTATTACTTGATATGGAGGGTTTGTCGAGGGGTTTTGTCATTGCCTACTTGCCCCTTCCTAGGATACCTCTCACTGTCTCTCTCTCGCTCTGTTTATTGATATTATATTACACTCACACGCATTTGCTCTCTCTCTCTCTCTCACACACACACACACACACACACATACGCTCTATAAATTCTGTTACTGAGAACTCTCCTGTCCCGCTGTCCGTAGCTCCAAATGACTCTCAAACCCGAATCCCAATGCCAAACCCGTTCCCGAACTCGAACCCGGATCCGTACTTGTCGCCTCTCTCCGTGTTACCGCCACCCTGATGAACCGGTCACCGGCATCTGCGCTTCTTGCCTTCGTGAACGGCTCTCCGGCCTGGATTCATCTGCCGCCGCCATTGCTGCATCCTTGTCGCCGGAGCTTCGTCGCTGCAGGTCAGTGTCCACTTCTAAATGCGAAACTTCCTGTAGCAGCTTCACCGAGCAGCGGCGCAAGTCATGCGAGGTTAGGTCGGATCGGAGCTCCCTGGCTCATCTGTTCGGTGATGATGACGAAAAGAATGGATCCAGTAGCTGCTCCAAAGTTGAATCGAAGAATTTGGGGCTTTCGAGAGTTACTTATACCGTGATCGAGGCAAGTGAAGAGAAGTGTTGTCGTGAAGAAATTAGGGTTTCGTGTAATGCGTTGGTGCCAGTAGATGTGAATGCTATTGACGATGATGAGGAGTTTGAGGAGGGAGAATTCAAGACAATGAAAGAATACATAGATCTTGAATTTCAGAATAAGAATAGTAAATCTAAGGATTTGAGAGGCATTGCTGGAAATTTACTGGGTGCAGCTTCTGTTTTTACAAAGAAATTGCAGAAATGGAGACAAAAGAATAAGATGAAGAAGGGAAATAGTAGTAGTAACTGTGAAACGGCCGGTAGCCATGGTTGTAATGATGTGTTTTCGAACATCGAAAAGTCGAGGGAAACTCAATCCGAGATTGGGGAAAGAAGATCTTGCGACACGGAGCCAAGATTTTCGGTTGATGCTGGTAGGATTTCATTTGATGAGCCTCGGGCTTCATGGGATGGGTACATGATTGCAAGGACCATTCCAAGGCTTGCTCCAATGTTTTCTGTTGTTGAGAATGGGATCTTGGGTAATGGAAACAGATTTGAGAATCACAGGTTGTCGGTTGATGGGCCCATGCACTCTATAATGGAGGATGAGACTAGCTCCGGTGGATCAGGCAACTCTAATTCAGATTCTTCTTCTATGATGCGAAGTAGAAGTAGAAGTAGTTTTGATCGATCGAGCTCTGTCAGGAGTTTTGGAAAGAAAACAATGTGTTCAGAGGATCAAGCAGTATCTCCTGCGAACTTGAAGTTGGTAATCACGGAGAGGGAATTGAAAGATTGGCACATGAATTCCACTAGAGACGATGCATTGGAGAAGGTTGGATCCATTTCTAAAAGAACTGCTACTATTGAAAATGTTGGTAACTGTAATGTGCCAAAGAAGTCTGTTAGATGGCGCAAAGTACGCAATGTCTTTAGTTTCAAACCTAAGAACTGTGAAGATAAGTCTGAAAGTTTCTTAGGAAATGTAATTGACAGCTCAATTGATGACCCCAAGCAAGGGAAGGAGGCCGGTGTAGAAGAGAAAGAAGTGTCAGGTTGGAAGCTTACTCGCAGTAGTAGCGTTGTAGGTTCGAGGAATTCATGTGCAATCCCGGGATCAAGTTATCGTAGGAGGAGTGTTGATAACAGTGGTGTACGCCCTTACAAGGGCAGGGAAGAGTTTATGCTGGAGAGAAACATGAGTGCCGAATATTTGTCAATGGATCTTGATAATGGCACGGTGCCATTCTATATGACACCGTTGAGGAGTTTGAGGAGCATGAAGGGCGGAAAATTCAAGCTGGAGAACTCAAATTCAATCCCTGGGAATGTTCTGCAGTTGAATTGAACTAAAGGTAGACATTCGTTCTCTGCAAAATTATAAGCTATACATTTCTCGTGACAAATTTTCAAATCTAGTAGCTTAATCATGTTTAACCATCTAGTTTCCATATCTTGTAGCCTTATCTGTAACACAGTAATAATAGTTTCAAATTTTCGTTCTTTGTTTATTTGAAGGCCTCTTGTTTTGAATCTGTTTTCGTCTGTACAACAATATTATTTTCAGTATAGTGGTTCATGCCTAAGCTAGATAGTGAAATACTCTGCCTTTTTTATGTTTTTGCTTTTCGGACTTCATTTGTGATTAGATTTAACTCTCATTATACAATTGCATATAGGACGGCTTCGGAATTCCAAGAATGACTTAGATCTTGTGTGTGAAGAGCTGGAATGTGAGAGCAGATATATATGGTGTTAATAGTACCTAAAGCATTCTCATTATATAATTTCATACGGGATATCTCTGAAATCTGGGAGGTTTGCTATCTTGTATGTGAAGAGTTAGAACATGAAAGATGATATTTAGGGTGTTCATAGTTCCTATGCATAATTCTCCAATATTGCATTTGCTGTTTTTCTTTTCAATTCTTTGTCTACAGCGGGCAAAACTTAAAATCAACCTTTGCATAGATATACAAGTCCCTAGGTACAAAATAGGGAAAGGCTCTTCCCTGCAGAATGGATACCTTTCTTTTATTGAGGATTTGAGCATGAACTGAAAGCTGTGTTGTAGAATACGTGTGCAACAGTTTACTTTCAGATTGCTGCAATGTTATGGAAACACTTACCATGTGACTCTTGACTAGGCACTTTTTTTCAGTTTGCTTTATGTGCTATTTACATTGCGGGAGAGTTTTTGAGGTTCGGCACAATTACGTCTTAATTACAGTTGGAAATGTACCTAGAATTTCTGGTGGCCTGAATTGCAAATTTTCACTACTTGTGTACCACATGCTAGATTGGACAACACCAAAAGGTCTATAGTGCAATTTTCATTAAAGTGATGGCCGTTATACTTGAATTTACAATTTTTGTGTGCTCTTACTATCTTGAGTTACCCCGTCTAAAAATTTAGACTGTTACATCGGGGAGAAACTTATTTTTATTATTTATGTTCAACATCTTTAATTTATGGAATTAATTTAAATAGTGTTGTTCATCAAAATTGAGAAGGAAATTATAAATTGAATTTACAAATTGGTGAGGCCACCATTAATAGTTCCAAGAACATATTGGCCAGTGGGCAGATTGGACATTTTTTTCACAAGTCGAGTCTACTCGACTCATGAGGCCCACGACCTGGCTTGATTGGGCTTGTGGGCCTACTCTTTTTCTTCTCATTTTTGGAATTGTTTTTTCAATTTTATTAAAAAATAATAATAAATTTGCTTGTTTCTGAGCTTATTTTGTTAATTTATTTAAAAAACAAATGAGTTGACTCATGGGCAGCTTGGCTTATAAGACCTACAAGCCAAAGGCCAAGCAGATCCTAAGAGCTCGGCTCGTCCATAGGTTCGAGCCGGCTTTGCACCCCTAGCTGCAATAGACAATAGGCATGACTAAACAGGCCTGGAGAAAAAAACAAAATTAGATATTATCAGTTGTGTAAAGTATGAACGAAGAGTTCCCACAGCCCTTTTCTATGTATATCTCTTTGCTGCTGCAACGAAGCTCCCAAGTTTAGAAAACTCAAGACGGCTAGTAGCAAAAAGAAGGGAGGTGCCATCGTTCATATTGTCTGCTATCCATCTAGTGTTCCCATGCCTAGTACAGATATCCGTAACAATAGTCAGTAACAAAGAGCTCACAGCATCGGTTGTAAAGACAGGACTGCACGCAAACTCCTCATAGAAAGGTGCTTGTTTGCAGAAGAATTCTAGTTGTCTTATGTTTGTGAATACTTCTGCATAACCTATATGAAATACTGCAGGATTTGCTGGAATATTGAGATGGGCTCTTGTTTTGTGTTATACAGGTTTTGTCTTCATACAATTCCTAGTTGAACAACCTCAAGAATTGCTGCGAATATCATAGCCAAGATCGATATGGAAAGCCCCACCTGCATAAGTTTCAACTGTGCCAAACCACTATCGGAATCAGGGTTTGATCATAGACTGGAACCCAGAAAATGACGCTGCGTGTGTATAAAATGCATAGGGATGCTTCTAGGATATGTCGAAACTGCCCAGTTTTGTGTGCATGTTTATTCTAACAAAAATAAGTTGCCCATTTGTGAATACAACGTGCTGAATATAATGCCCGTAGCCCATATGGGAAGTAATCTGATAACTGATTTCAGTTCTTCAACTTGTGAAACAGTGCAAAGTCTCCATGGATCCACTTTTATGATCCGATTGCAATATCACTGCTGCCTTATCAAAGAAGCTGAAATTTGACGGTCATCAGACTTGAAACGGCGTTTTAAAAAAAGTAATCACTTTAATTATTTGGGTAAATAAGTCAACAATAAAAGTGGATACTTGTTTCTTGATGGTTTACCCAATAAGGCTTGTAAAGACTCGACTCAAGTTCCCTCAACTTGCTTACCAAGTGTTAGGAAATTGATTGTCTAACAGAAGTGAAGTGTAATCTTACATATAAGAGGAGTTCAATTCTTTTAGAAACTTCAACTATGACGTGTTGGTTTGCATGAAGATGTTGTTTCGGAGTTGACTACATTAATAAAGGTCATCATACTTTCTAGTAGTTCTTTAAAAAAATAATGGAAAAATAATGGATTCAAGTTGTGTATTAAATACTGTGACATGTTTAGTATGTTGGATTGGATAAGACTGGATAAGATTAAAAAAGAGCCTTGACAAAATGTGTTCGTTGTCTTATCTTTATGCTGATCAATTCATCGTACTAAACACGTGATCCCTAATAGAAGGGGAAATACCGAAGTTCATCCGTGCTATCAAGCTTGCGGCTCCCTACCATAATGGATTCTGCATTGGAAGTCTTGTCATAGGGTACCACAACTCGGATTTTTCTCAGGGCGGCTACCACCACCTTTCGGAGACGAGTAAGAAGGCTGTCACTGGGTTTCTGGTACTGAAAGTAAAAGGCCTCAACTATTGCCATAGCTACAGCAGGAATACCAAATCCCCATCCCCAACCAATGTTAACTTGTATCCAAACCAGCACTGAAGAGGCAATGAGTGCACCCGATATTGATTGAAAAATAGAAACAACTGAAGAAAGAACTTTTGAACTTCTTTTCAGCCCCATGAGTGTCATCAAATTGATCTGCACCGTAGGATGAGACACATGGCTTAATCCCACTGGTTCCGAGTGATATCAGATAGAGAGCAAGAAAACTGACAGTTGTTTGAGCATGTGTTGCAGAGACAGACATCTTTCTTGCATCAGGTTGGCCTCAGGCAAGGGACTGTTGCTGATAATGTCAATGGTGTCATTCCCTGTTGACATGGAAGATTACATCTTTTCAAGTTTAACCAACACAAAAATTATTGAAACTTATAAGTAAATGTTTTAATCTTAGCCAAACATGCGCTATAGCATTTGCAATCACAACATACTACATAGTAGACGGAACTTACAATAACATAGATGATCGAAAGACTTGCAATAGTCCAATATATTCCAAAATATGCATCTGCAAGAAATGCTCCAAGTAATGGCAAGTATCTGACCAATTCGACAAATTTTCCGAAGCAGTAACACTATGTTGATCTGTGAAATTAAGCACAAATTGGAGCTCATTCCATAGTATGCTAATGTTTCGAGAAATTCATTTCCAGCAGAAAAAATATCAATACTAAGCAAGCAGTGTAATTCTCAGAAAAATGCCTTAATTTGGAAAATTAAGAATGAAATAACTAACCTAGGATAAAATGACAGGTTTTCCAGTTTACTGTTTTCTTCTTGTTAGCAGGTTTGTTGCTATAATCGACTGTTCCAGCGTTTGCGAAGTTATCGTCATCTTCTTCGATGGCAAGAGGGCGCATGCTCGATTTTTTTTACTTCTGTTGCTTGGAGATTTCTGTGATGACGAAAAAGAAGAAGAGCTTTGCTTAGTGTACAGAAAAAATGTTTACAGGCACCTTACAGATTACACACAATAGGCGGGGCCCGTTTTTTTGCGACAATATTTAATTCCTATGGAGCCCACTCCCATGTGAGTGTGTAATTTTTCTGTAATAAAATTTTTTGTACAAACATCATTTTCCAAAGAAAAAATATATTATGTCTCGATTAACTTCAATTTCGAGGTACTTCGAAACAATCCAAATTCTCTCTTATATAGAGAATCATTGCAACAAAATTAAAACCCTTTAATGGAGCTAAAAATCTTTAAAAGCAATTAAACCTAATAAAAAGAAAGGACAATAAAATTAGCCGTCTATCCATCTCCATGTTGAGAGATCTAAACTTGAAATATTTCCTAATGTATTATTTATTCCATTTCATTACAATTTCACTCTAACCTGGAAATAAAAATGTTAAACTTCATGGAACTTGAACAAGATGGTCATAACAATTATGTTGACATGGCACATTTAGGACACTCGACTACATCTGGACAAATTTTATCATATACCTCTTTAAACCTGTCGAGTCGTTCAGTGCAGGAAAGAATTACTATTTCTCACAAACATTGTCTTACATTTCATTACCTAAAATGAAGAGTTCATCAGAATCAACACAGCCATTGACAAGCCACGACAAAAACACCAAGCCGTATTTTGAATAAATTTCGAGTCGACTAGGTGAATCTTTTCTTGACCACATTGCAAAGAAGGATGTAAAACTAACATAACTTAACCTGGTACACTTCAAACTCCTTCAAAACCACCTCTGGTTTGAACCCAAAAGAACAAGGTTTTTAAACTCAAAACTGAAACAAGCTGTAGCTTTTTTAGGGTCACACGAACAATCCAACTCCTATTTTTCAACGTCTCTCGTTCACAAATGAAGAGTTTGAAGTGAATCCACTAATAAAGAAGTAAGAAAAAACAAAAAATTGGAACACAAGGACATGGAAATGTAAACAAGGACAAAATTGAACTTATTTTTGTTAACTATGTTCATCGTTAGGTCTAATTAAGAGATCAAAATTTGAAACTGGCTTGCATCTTGGCTTTCAATACCCTTACATAGCATTCCAACAATTTCTCCCACTCCTCAAAAGCCAACGGGAGCGGAGTTGATGCTCCACGTGCATAGCACGAGTAGTTAAAGACTAAAAGATTTGAAATTTGAGTTATTTCTTGGAATAACACTACTATGTATTGAGGTCGTAATGGTAATCTAAAATCAACGTGATGTAACTTTGGAGAAACAAAACAAAAGAAGAAACCACAAATCAAGAAGAGCATGTTTGCCTTGCATTTGAACCATTAAAGTTACAATTACCTTCCCTTTATGGAAGAATTCAGATCCCAATTCATAATAAATGGAAATCTCCAAACAGCCAGTTTATGGATGTCATAATCATTAAGAACATGTATTGTATACAATACAACAAACAAGATTTAACTTATTTTTCTTCCAAGATCGTGAATCATGTGCACTATTTTCCAATCCACAATACCAAATATACCATGGCACATCATCAGTTCAGTTTGAATCCCCCTTGTTTTCACAGGTTAACCCGAAGCCAAAAGGAAACAAGGGGTCGTACGAATTCTGTTTTCCAATGTGCAATGGCAGTTGATCGACGCTTTTAAACCACGTCATTGGAAGTCGTCCATGAAATGCATAATCTCCAAAGATAACATCTGTGATTCCCTGGCATTCACTTCCAGGCAACCAAGCAACAACCAGAGCATCTATCTTTTCCAGGAGCCATGGCTCCAATACTAAAGGCCTTCCAGTAATTAGAATTACTAATGTGGGAACTCTATCAGCGACTACGCTTACCAATTCTGCACCATTAAAAGGAATTTTGAGCTCTGGATCATCACCGCCAGTTTCAACGTATGGAGCTTCGCCAATAGCTACAACAGCATAGGAAAAATCTTGACCAGAAAATGTTTCTGGGGAAGGATTTAGCTCATATGTGACTTCTGTTTTGCTTCCCACAACTTCTTTGATTGCATCCAAAATAGTTGTGCCTAAAAATCAAAAGATTTCATAGTTCAAATCCCAAATATTATATGAATCTAAAACCAAAATATTGTTGCAAATGATAAGTTTATTAGTGAGTGACAATTGTATCCCTTCAGCCCTAGAAATTATTACCATTATATTCTTAATCTTTTCCTATAAATATAAGGCTTTGGTTCTCATTATAATACACTCAAGTCTATTAACTTTTATTCTCTCTTCTCTCTTTCTTTATTTTCATACCACATTATCAGCACGAAAACTTAATTCTTCAAACTCTAGTGAAAGTAATAATTTTTTTAAAGCATAAATTATTTATCACGTGTACCAAAATTAATTTGGTGACACGTGAATTTTTTTATACATACGTATTATAACACGTCTGCTTGCCGTACAACCTTTAGAACTTTTAATTTATCACGTTTAATAAGCATAATCATCATTACCTTTAAACATGTTAGCTGTAAATTCTAACTCTTTAATTTTTTTTGTGTATAGTCTGTGTATTGTTTGAAACTTTATTTATGTATCATTAATTTCATAATATTGAATTATTTTTATACTTCTAAATTTAAATTCAATTTTTTAAAATATATCTATTTTGTTATAAATTTATGATGGAATGTCAAGATACCTGCTTGATTGATAGTGTAACTATACATACTATTTAGAAAATAATGTTAATACAATATCGAGTGCATCGAATATCATTGAAAGCTACGGAAGAGCTTGTATTATTTTATCAAATAATACAAAATTATATATTGACGATGCACTTTATTATAGCAAATCCAGAGGAAATTTGTTTAGTTTTATCTTTAATACTCTAAATTAACTATACTTTTTTTCCTTCGTATGATTTTTTTGTTTTTGTCCCATTGAATTTTTATCAAACAAGGCTTTAACGAGACACATATTTTGTAATGGAACATTCAAAGGGGAGTGTTGTAAATTGTGAGTTTATTAGTGGATGACAATTATACCCTTGCAGCCCTATAAATTATTATCATTGTATCTCTAATCATCTTCAATAAATATAGAGCTTTAGTTTTCATTATAATACACGCAAGTCTATTGACTTTTATTCTCCCTTCTCTTTCTCTCTTTTCATAATAAATATACAATTTTCTTTATCTCTGTTGTTCAATGAGCAGCAATTTGTCCTTTTCCCTTATAATAATTTTTATCCAAAAATAAATTCAAAAAGGGTTAAGTTAAAAGACAGAAATTTTCGAAAGAAAAACAAGGGAACTCAAGTTTGCTGCAAAACATCTACATAAAATTATAGAAAATCTCAAAAATAATCCCTGTAATCCCCATAAAGATTATAAAAGAGGAATAAGCTCTTATCAAAAATGATCAACGTGGATTACTGGTGACGCTTGGCAGACATGACAGCATGATTAATATTTGACATTATGCATGCATAACTACTAATAAATCTAAATGCTGGTGTCTCAAAATTGAAAACGTGTACACTGTATAGAGCGTATTGAGAGTATTTAAACCCTGATAAGCTTGATATAACAAAACCCTTACCATCTGTAATTCTGCCACTCGTTCCTTCCCATGTAGCTGTCCACCCTCCACACAGATATCCAAGATCATCAGCATGTGTTCCAGCAACGAGAATTGTCTTTGCGTTCTTGTCTAACGGGAGAAAAGGTATCTTTTGATCCTTTCCATTCTTCAGCAAAACCAAGGACTTGCGAACTGCTTCACGTGCCAATTCTCTATGTGGCTGACACAACAGATATGATCAAGAAATATATTTCAGATCCCAACTTTGCCTTAAAATACTAAAAGATAATATTCCCGTCAGAAGTCGAATTAAGGTATTTAAGGATACAGACGATAATAGGTCCAACCACTGATAATCCTTCATAATTTTTAAGCCCTTACTGTGTGTCAACAAAAAGGATAGGACGTACAAGGTCAAACTACAAAGTAGAAATGTAAAGTTAGTTATCTCACATTAAAAGTTACAAGAATCTAGGAAGATGATACACGTCGATATCCATTTGGTATGTAGTTTTATTAAATTAAAATAATGTGTCAATCAAATTCTGACTTGATTCAAAGTGTTATCACTCTGATTAATTTTGAGTTAGTAACTTAAATAGTTCCTTCAGAATGCAGCGAGTGCAAGTTCTAGAAAGAGATAAACCTGAAATAGATCAACATGATAAGGATTGAGGATGCATTATTCTTTTTATGATGGCAATTAGAACATGTAAAATTATGTCCATAAGGCATATATAGAAGGTGATATACCTTGCAACCAACCACATCCAACAAAGATCTATCACTCAGGGGATACTCAAAAAGTCCAGCAATAAATTTGACTCTAAGAATCCTCTCAACAGCATCATCAATCCTGGCCATCGGTATCTCCCCTGATTCCACAAGAGACAGAAATTCTTCCAAAAATAATTCAAATCTAAAAGGCACCATGACCTGCAAAACTCAGTGAAGCAAACAGAGATAAATTATGTGAAGAAGCTCCAAATTGTACTAGGCTTTATGCATTGAGGTGTAATATGTACCATATCAATTCCTGCATTGATGGTGGACAAAATGCTATGACGGTAGTTTGAGCCAGGAGGAATATATAGCCGATCAAGTGCTTCCCAATCTGAAATCACAATGCCCTGCAGTAGAAATTGCTTATATAATCATTCAAACTCTCTGCAGCAACTACTTTCACTTATTTTAGAGAGAATAATCGAAGGGCTCTAACAGACTTGAATGCATCAGTGACTGAAAAAGAGAAGGCAGATTAAGCATAATCTAGAATCTTCCACACAAACTAGATTAAAATATGATATTCCAAACTTAAATTCATTCTTTGAGGAGAAAAAATTAATAAATAGGTACTATCGAATTTATGTGGAAATAC